CCCGGCAGCTCCACTTCCCATCCAGCTCCCTGCTTGTGGCCTAGGAAAGCAGTCAAGGACAGCCTAAAGCCTTGAGACCCTGCACCTATGTGAGAGACCCGGAAGAGGTTCCTGGATCCTGGCTTCGGATCGGCATAGCGCATTGGCCGTTGTGGTCACTTGGGGAGTGAGTCATCGGACGAAGATCTTCCTCTCTGTCTCTCCTCCTCCTCTCTGTATATCTGACTTTCCAATAAATAAATAAATCTTAAAAAACCAAAAAAAAAAAAAAAAAAAAAAACAATAGAGGATGGCCCAAAGCCTTGGGACCCTGCACTCACATAGGAGATACGAAGAAGCTCCTGGCTTCGGATCAGCTCAGCTCCAGCTGTTGCAGCCACCTGGAGAGTGAACCAGCAGATGGAGAATCTTTCTTTCAGTCTCTCCTCTCTGTAAATATGATATTTTACTTATTTTGCAATTTAAAAATATTTTAAAAAGGAACAAATCTTAAATTTAAAAAAATGAATAATCTGGGGGCTGATGTTGTGGCATAGCAAGATAGCAGGCACAGCTCCCATCTGCAGTATCAGCACTCCATACCAGTGTTCCGGCTGCCTCACTTGAGAACCAGCTCTCTGTTAATAGCCTGAGAAAGCAGTAGAATGACTCAAGGGTTTGTGTCCCTGCCACCCACGTGGGAAACCTGGCTGAAGCTCCTGGCAGTTGCAGCCATTTGGGAATGAACCAGTGGATAGAAGAAGTTCTTCATCTCTGCCTCTTCATACCCTGCAAAAATAAAATCACTTTTTAAAAGTCCCAGAATATAATTTCGTAAAATGCAAAGACAGAAACTGATAAAAAAAAAAGGGGGGGGTGGAAAGCCCACATTTAGCCTAGTAAAGACAGACACCCATGTGCTATGTTGGCACTCCTGCGTTCAGTATGAGCTTCCGGCTCCTGACTTGTTCCCTGTGTGTGTGGACCTTGCTTGGGAAGGAGGTGACGGTTCAAGCAGTTGGACTCTCACCACCCACACTGGGAGAGAGCTGGACTGAATGCCCAACTTTGCATTTCAGCCCAGCTCAGACTTGCGGGCATTTGGAGCCTGAACCAGCAGATGTCAGTTCTCTGCACAAATGGGACGAGGCAGCAATGGAGGACAGCAGCCCCAGTGCAGACAGTAGTGTGGATACTGCCTCCTCTGGATGAGGCTCTACTCCCATCAACCTAACAGCACGTGCCTTGCTTTTCTAAAATTAATATTGTTTACATAGTTGAGAGGGTTGTATGCCCAGGTGGACTTGATTAGGGCGGAGAGGGTCGAGCACAGAAGGTGGGTGGGACAAGTTTCAGTATTTTTCCTTTTTTTCTCCTGTGGCTGCAGCGTAGAGGGGGCACTCCCTGCTGTCAGACCACATCAGCACCCAGGGATTGAAATGATCCTTTGGTGACACCCCAGAAACCCCATTAAGAGGAAGAGTGTTACTTGTTTGTTTGTTTTTTTAAGATTTTATTTATTTTCGGGCCTGGCATGGTGGCCTAGCAGCTAAAGTCCTCACCTTGCATGTGCCAGGATCCCATATGGGTGATGGTTCTAATCCTGGCAGCTCCACTTCCCATCCAGCTCCCTGCTTGTGGCCTGGGAAAGCCGTTGAGGACAGCCTAAAGCCTTGAGACTCTGCACCTGTGTGGGAGACATGGAGGAAAGTTCCTGGCTCCTGGCTTCGGATTGGTGTAGCACCGGCCGTCGCGGTCACTAGGGGAGTAAATCACTGGATGGAGGATCTTCCTCTCTGTCTCTCCTCCTCTCTGTATATCTGCCTTTCAAATAATTGGCAGATATACAGAGAGAAGAGACAGAGAGGAAGATATTACATCTGATGGTTCACTCCCCAAGCGGTCACAACGGTTGGAGCTGAACTAATTTGAAGCCAGGATCCAGGAGCTTCTTCTGGGTCTCCCACTCGGGTACAGAGTTCTAAGGCTTTGGGCCGTCCTCGACTGCATTCCCAGGCCATAGGCAGGGAGCTGGATGGGAAGCAGAGCCACAGGAATTAGAACTGGCACCCATATGGGATCCCAGCACGTTCAAGGTGAGGACTTTAACCACTACACTATTGCACCAGGTCCACTTGAGTGGTTTTGATAGCCCCGAGACGTCGGTTTCATTGCTCCAGGGTTGAGAAAATCCTTCCAAGATCTACTGGTTGACAAAGTCCACCTTAATGCCTGTGCAGACCCAGGAACACGCTGCAAAGCTTGGCCAGAATTGTCCCAACTGTTGTGCTTCCCATCCTCTGACAAGGCAGTTGATGTCCCCTGCTGGCATAGCTGAGCTGCTGTCATGTCGCCCATGTGCATCTGGACATGCTGTCTACTGCACGGGCCTCAGCAACTAAGGACGACCAGTTCTAATACATGCATTCTAAGGTCGGACCACACATCCTGTGATTACCCCTGTGGCCAAGATCTCAGTGCATCAGTCCAGTCGAGGAGTCTCCCAAGAAATGTCGCCTGGGGTGACCTCAGACCCAATCCCTGTTTGCACCAGCCAGTGCAGGGTCAGGTTTAGTCTGTCACCTGCACCAGACAATGCACATACTAGTGGAGGCAGCTTGGTCAGTTTCACCTTAGCCCCATATCTCATGTGAACCGATGGGTGGAGCTGCCCAGTCCAGCCAGCCTACCACAGACCTGGTCCTTAAGTGGGAGGTCTGGTTGGGGTAACTCCCAATACCCCTACCAGGCCTAATAGCAGCCCCCAGTTTGTGTGAGCTGGCGTCTGCTTCAGCCCAGTCTGGCCTAGCCCACATCCCATCTACCTCTTGTACACATCCATGGGCTCTGTGCCTTAGCTCAGCCTGGCCCACTCCCAGACCTGGCCCTCACAAATGCCGACATGCCACCGTCTTGTCCAAGCATGGCCAGTCCCCAGCCCTGGATCTTGTGCTCAACAGTAATGATACAATCTAGCAGGGGAGTGCCCACGGTTCACCCTGTGAGGCATATTCCCAGCCCTGGATTTTGTGCCTGCCAAGGGTTACTGTGGTCCAGTCTAACATGACTCGCACCCAGTCTCAGCACTTGCCAGGTGGTGCTGCAACCTAGCTCAGCTGGCCCACACCCATTCTGGCTCTGTGAATAACAGTAGATACAGCAGTCCATCCCAGCCTGGCCTGCTCTGTATTCTGCATGAACCAGCAGATGCTATGGCCCAGTGTGGAGTGGACCACCCCCATTCTCAGCATTTGCCAGCAGGTCCCTGGCTCAGCCCAGCCCACCCCCAGTTCTTCAGAGTTGGAGCAACAGACTAGCCCAGCCTGGCTCACCCTCAACCCTCACGAGAAATAGTAGGTGTGGCGGTCCAACCTAGCCTGGTTGTACCCTGTTCTGGCCCTCAACTCATCCCATCCCAGATCCAGTTCACACATGTGCCAACAGGTGCTGCAGCCCAGCCTGTCCAGCCTGCTACCAGCCCTGGCTCTTGTGCTCACTAGCAGGAGCCGTGCCTAGCAGAGAAATTGTCCAAGTTCCTCTATCAGGCCTAGTCCTAATCCTGGATCCCACATGTGCTGTCAGGTGCTGCTGCCCAGACTGATATGGTCAGCCCCCAATTCTGGCACTCATTGGTGGGTACCATAACCCAGCTTGACTGGCCTGTACCCATTCTGGCTCTCACCCCTTGACCTGGATTTCATGTTACCTGTGGGTGCTGTCGCCTAGCTTGGCCTGTCTCACACCCATCCTGGCCCTCATGAGCCTTAATGGGTGCTGAAGGCCAGCCCAGTTTGCTCCGCCCCTAGACCTAACCCACACACATTCTAATGGGTGCTATAGCCTTGCCCAGCCTGGTCTGTTCACAACCTCAGCTCTTGCAATTACCAGCAGGATCTGAAGCCCTGTAAGGGAGTCTCCACAGTTCCCATATTGGGAATTTCCCTAGCCCTGGGTCTTGCCTGTGCTGTCTCAGCTGTCTCTGGTGGGTACTGCAGCCCAGTCCAGCCCAGCTTGGTGTGGATCACACCCTGTCCTGACTTCCCTGCACACTATTCAGTGCTAAGGCCTAGCCTATCCTGGCCTGACCCCAGACCTGGCCCTTACAAATGCTAACAAGTGTCACAGCCTTGCCTGGCCCAACCCCAGCTCTGGCTCCCTGTACTCTCCAATGGGAAATGTGGACTAGTAGGGGTACAGGAAGGGGCAGTGGCCCTGCTTTCATTCCCTATTCTTACTGATTCATTTCCAGAGAACGGGGAAGAGGAAAATTGCAATTTTACAGTTAGAAACTTGAAAAACACTAATAAACTCATAGTCACTGATGGTATTAAGCAGATACCACACATTCTCTAACACGATGCAATGGGAAACGTACTTCACTTCTATGGTCTTCTTTAAATTTACAACAAAACATCAAAGTACCTGACTGGGGGATATTCAACAGGATACTTGATCTATAGTATCCTCAAAGACCATGAAGGTCATGGGAAACAAGCCAAGACAAGAGAAATTGTCACAGAGACTGGAGAGACACGCTAGGGAGATGCTATACCTTGGATCTGATTCTGCAAGACAAAGGACCTCAAAGGAAAAAGTGGCAACACCCAGTCTGCAGTTGAGGATTATTTGGCAACTCCATGCTATGGTGGCAATTTCACCACATTCAAAATTATTCAAGCAAAGAGCTTAATTTTTGTTATTTTTCCAGAAGTATTGAAAAAAGGAAGTATATCCCTCTTTTGATCCGCCCTACTTCTAAGGAGCTGTGGCACTTGTCAGTTAAGTGTACAACAATCACATATGGATAGATGGGAACACCACAGTGTAGTTGGAAATCTTTGTTGAATTTAAAATTCTCCCCATTCCCAACCAACCCTGTGAATACACCAGAGACATGGCTTTTTATTAAAAAATTTTTAATTGGTTTACAAAGGAGCTACAGACTACAATGAAACTAATCTTTGTACAAAAGGCAAAAAAAAAAAAAAAAAAAAAAAAAAAAAGGCCCCCAAATACCCAGAGACAAAAGGTGAGGTAAGGGGGAAGAGACAAGAAAGTAAGATACAAGAGGAGGAGGAGGAAAGAGAAAGGTCACAGGTTAGCATCGTCATACCCATGAGTATGGGAGGGAAGAGCAGGATGAGGGAGCATTTTAATGAATTTACCCACACAGCCCTGGTGATAACTGGACTGAAACCAGTAACAAGCACAGTGTGAGATTCTCAGGAAAAGGCCACAGTGGTGTGCAGGCTGGTTATTGCCAGTATTAAGAGAAAAATTAACTTGTTTTAGGCACCAGAGATTGGAACACTACCCCTCACCCCGAGGACGACAGACTTGGTTTGGAAAGAGGGGGCAGGCCCTGGGTGTGTATGGAGAAGGGATCTCCTTCAGTTCACCTCAGCATTGTTCTCCCCAAAATCTTTGTGTCCTAAGACTCTACAACAGGACTATGGGAGGGATGTCAGTGGGCAGCAGGGATCCTGAGGAGGATGAAGACCTGCCTTTGTCCATGTTGTCAAGAGCAGTTACTGCAAAGGGAAGACTGGGTAGAGCAAGCCCACTTCCCCGTGGAGAAGGCACAGTGTAATTCCTGAAGACAAAATAGTGGAAAACACAGACTCCAGGGGAGGCTTGAACAATCTTCACTACATGTAGCCTCAGCCTAACACCCTCCTTTTACATTTTTTTCTTTGTTTTTTTCCTTTTCTGATACTGTGCTGGGACTTGGGAAGACAAATCAACACACTTCAACTCCGCACAAACCAAGAAGGCTGGGGCTCTTTTATACTGAAGAAAGGATGAAATTCCCCGCTTTTACACGAAATTGTGGAAGAAAAAAAGGTCTTCTGCAGTTTGGGAAGGTCAGAGTAGAAAAGATCGAGGGGAGAAATGAAGCAATGGATTCCCCTTTGTTTCTTTTCCCAATTTTTAATCTAAGGCAAGTGAGCCAAATCTGGAAGGGGGAAAAGAAATTGAAGCCTATGGCTGCTTGATGTTTTCCAGGGGGCTGTTGTTTAGGGAAGGCAGACAGAGGAAAAACAAAAAAGTCAGGTCAACCTCAAAGCTGGCCTGCTATCCTCCCAGCAAGGTCGGCTGTTGTCCCCCCACTCGCGTGCCCCAGACGACAGCCAAGAGAGGAACCAGAGAGAGAACAGAGTCTCCCAAACTAAAGTAATAACCTGCCTATCTTTTATCAGCAGTTTTCAAAGGCAACGTTTCCGGGGCTGGAGAAGTGCCATATCCTCCTCCCTTTGCCCCAAACTACTGCTGCCACCTTTCATCCTTGTGCCTAAGTTACAGACTCTCTGCAAAGTGAAGATGAAGCTCTGAGATTTCACATCTCTCCTCCCAACTCCCAGAAGCCGCCCAGCTTCTACTAGAAGGAAGAAGAGTTACACAAAGGGACCCTTCACTTGGTGCTAGCTTCAATTGTCCCTCCTCTCTCTGGGTACCTGATCTCCAAAATTATTCTGACCTGACCCCACGGTTCAAAAGGCATCAGGGCACTTCAAATTGAAGGAAAACTCTTAAGCAAATAGCACCAGGGCTCCCCTAAAGCACAACAGGGGCCTGATTAGCACCCCCAGAAGAACCCCCTTAAAAAGTATATAAATTTATTGCGTTCTAGCAAAGATCTGCAGCTTCCAGTATTCACACAATGTGAAGATATTAACAATACAAAATATACTCTGAAAGTAGAACACCTGCAGTTCATAGTGCTTTCTCAGATTTGTTAAAAAAATACGCTTAATTTCCTATATAGGATATACAAAAGCAAAAAATATATATATGTATATAGTAGAAATAAATCAGCCATAGTAATTTACAGCTTTTGTCTCCACCCTTCCCACAATCATAATCTTTATGCCCACACTTCAGACTACACTTGCTGGGATCAAAAGTACTATTTATTTATTAAAACCAAGCTGAAAAACAACCCATTAAATTGCATTCTGAGTAGCACCCACACACAGAGTGCAGGCTAGAAGGTTCCTGAAAGATGAAGGTGTGAGTTGTTACACATCTTACTGGGTAAAAAGTGAGAAAAATCAAAGAAGCAAATGACTGGAAAACCTGCACGGATGAGGGAGCCAGTGACTCCCTCCACCGCTTTTCTGGGCATCCCCCGCACTGTGTGAGGTTTGGTCATTAAAAAAAAATCTCATGCAAAAACAATTTGAAAATCAATAAGCACATCAGTTCATTTCTGCTGGCCCAAAGCTGTAGGAGAGGGGATTTAAAGAGCAAGCTCCCGATTCTGAAGAACGTAGCCTTTTAACTTCTGATGGGAAAAGACTAAATGACTCACTCACCGCAGGAAGACAAAAGGGGCCAGGGAAGGTACTGGACATGAAGCTTCCTCAGTAATAAGGAGGTCATAGAGCAAGTGCAAAGAACTGGCTGTCAAGTCACTCCCAGTAATGCTACTGAAGGGGGCCGACGGTAGACCAGCAGCTTCTCATTCAAGACACATTATCAAATAACCTAAAGGCTTATAGTCTTTCACATCATTAAGCTAGTTTAGAACTTGTCATGTCATACTGAAGAAGATTCCATTCCTTGAATACTGCTCACTCCTGCTGGCCCTGCTCCTTTCCCCCACACTATGACCCAGTACATGATTACAGACGGAAGACGACAGGTCTGAGTCCCGCCTTTCAGTGGGAATCAAGGGCATGAGAGTGGCTGGCACTAATTGAATTTGAACTGGGTAAAGTTCCTTACAATAGTTCCTGAGTGTTCTAGGAAGTCTGCAGAGAAAAGAGTGAACTATTGTTTACGGTATTAACAGTTATTGTATTTCGGGTTAAACAACACAAACTTACTCAAAGCCTAATGTGGGTGTCTTTTATATAAAATATATAGTAGGATCATAGCATCACCTTTTGTAGCCAAGATTTAAAAAAAAAAAAAAAAAAGATAAGAACAAGACTCTGCTATAGCTCTGAATGTTGGTTTCACTTTGAAACACAAAAATAGTTCCTTCTTTAAAAAGTGCAGTAGAATATCCCCGGTTCACAATTGTAAATGATTTAGCAAAAGCAGAGAGATTCCCTCAGGAGCACACCCACGTCTCAAGGCAGATTTCTAGGTAATGGGCCTGAAAGGCATTTGATCTGAATGTGATTTATTTTCCAACAATTTCAAATATAATTTCTCATCTGTATGTAGATATATACAGGAACAAACCCACATTCACACACACAATCATACAGAAACATTTCACTTTCTATCAGATCAGGGTATTTTTTTTTTATTGCAGGTCTCTTTTCATATTAGCTAAAAAACAAAAACAAAAACAAAAACCCTATCCCCAACCTAACAGATTACACGCATACCACACAGCCGTTTCCATACTTCCTCACAGTGAAAAGCTCTCCGACAGATACCAGAAGGTCAAGAGAGACAATGCTTTTTACTGGCTGGGCCTTGAGGACAACCATGGCTGCGTTCACCTCTCAGGGCCCAACGCACTAAGAGTTCCCTGCCGCTATAATTTTTGGATCAGTCTCTTCTGGAATCAGGCCACAGAGAAAGTAGGATGATCTCTCCCCTCATCTCTTTTATGGACCAGTGGTAAGACAAGATTTCTTTTTGTTCTGGGCTATCATTCCCTTGATCATATGCTTCTTTTCCCCCTAGGAACCAGCCAAGTACATGACAAGAAAGAGTTTGGGGAAAAGACCTTAAGAACAACTGTCTTGCCTCTTAGGACCTGCTCTGGAGTTCTGCAGAATGGAAACCTGGAACACATTCACTGGCTAATACCCCTTCACAACACAGTGGAAAAGAAATTCATCAGGGTGCTCAGGAGGAAGGATGTTTCCTTTCTGATTCTGAACTTGGAAGCTCACACATCAAGGCTTAATGTTGCCCTGGAAGACAATGGTACCCAAGTCCAAATGCTCCCCACAACTCATGAGTCTGGCTACTACGCATCACTTCCTCTCCTGAACTTTCTTCCCTATTGAAAGCCTCTACTTAGTATTATTTGACCCCCAATTTTTTTTTTCCCCACAGGTTATACAAACTGATCTTAGACAATCACCTTTGAAGCCTCTCTTGTTCAATCCACAGAAGGGCTTCTGATTCTAATCAAGAGAGGAGCTGCAGTTGACTCTCTGGCGCCAAGAAGGTGCCTGCGTCAGTAGCATATTTTGTATACTCCCACCACAGCTACCTCAAGCATCAGAGCGAGTGTAAACGGTTTTCCATTCTGCTGTTGGAACTAACGTCTTTAAAAAGACTGACAGAAGTGCCTCATCCAGGGATCATTATAAAAAACAAAGTATGAAGTGACCGGCTGAGAGAAGGGGAGACAGAGACGGTTCAATCAAGGAAAGGAGTGCAAGAAGCTGATCCCAAATAAAAAGATAAAATTAAGAATGGGAAAACATTATGTTTGTATAATTAAACTAAAAGTTTAAGATAGGAACGCTGAATCTGGTGGGAAGCCAAGACAACATCCATAGAAAAGCTTGATGTGTCAAAACAAGGCTCAGCCACAGAAAATAAGGCAATATATATATATATATATAAAAAATATGACCAAGGCGTATTGGTCACACAATGGTCTCCTTCCTCCTCCCAGCCAACCCCTGTGAATGTATCTTTATATATCTTTTTATATATATTTATATATATATAATATAGAATCTGTTTTTTGTTAAAAAGTATTTCAATGATCATATATATTTATCAAGGCATGATGGCTTTAGGAAAGGGTGGGGGGATCCATCATGAGAGAGCTGAAAAGGGCAATGTAGGAAGAAGAGGCTGGGGTGAGAAGAGGAAAAAGAAACCAGGGTCCAACACTCATCCAAGGGTGGCAGCAACAGAATGTTCACTAACATTTCCCGCCTTCAAAAAGGCACTGATGATACAGAGGTGGGTTCCCCATCTCTTCTCTTGTTTTCTTTGCCCCATTTTTCCTAACACCATGCAGTTTAATGCCTCATGGTTCGCTCTCCCACGCGCCTCTTGGACCCATGCTACCTTGCATCCCAGGGTTGATGGGTATGGCCCGTGTGTCTCTGGCCCCGGGGTGCCTCATCTCAGAAGCCATTGCCACTGATATTAATGGACTGCAGATCCGCCACCTGCATGACGTTGATGCCACTGTTGGCAAGACGGGCAATGCCCTCTGGACAGATGGCCTCCATGGCGACCATATTGGTGGTAATAAGGGCTGAGGGGGTGGCAGTACCACTGCCTTCTGAGCCTGCCGCAGCGTCCAGGGGCAAAGAGCCCACACTCCCCACACTCAGGGCTACGCCAGGGCCTGCCTTCTTATTCTGGTGGGTCTTGATATGCTTTGACAGATGGTCACTCCTCATAAAGCGCTTAGGACACTCAGGGCAGGCAAATTTCTTTTCACCTAAGTAAAAAAAAAGAAAAGAAAAAAAAGAGAGAAAGGAGGTAAGAAATCAACAATAATGGGACTAGCATTGTGGCACAGCACATTAAGTTACCACTTAAAACGTCAGTATCATATATGAATATCAATTCATGTCCTAGATGCTCCACTTCCAATCCAGGTCCCTGCTAATAGCCTGGAAAATGCAGCAGAAGATGGCTTGAGTGCTTGGGCTTCTATTACCCATATGGGAGACTTTCAAAAAGTTTCTGGCTCCTGGCTTTGTTCTGGTCCAGATGTGGCCGTTGCAGCCATTCATGGATTAAACTAGTGATGGATATTCTTTCAACAAACCACTAATCCACTGCCTTCAAACTTTTAGGCAAAAGACTAAGTCTGGTAAGTGACAAGAACAAAAGATAAATACCTGGTAAATACCTTCTAGTATTTAGCTTCTGGCAAAAACCTTCTTTTTTGGGGAAAGAACAAAGTAGGAATTGGGAAGCAACACAGAAGAAACAAAAAAAGGGCCCGGCGGCATGGCCTAGTGGTAAAAGTCCTCGCCTTGAACACACTGGGATCCCATACGGGCGCCGGTTTTAATCCTGGCACCTCCACTTCCCATCCAGCTATCTGCTTGTGGCCTGGGAAAGCAGACGAGGACAACCCAAAGCCTTGGGACCCTGCACCCGTGCGGGAGACCTGGAGCAAGTTCCTGGATCCTGACTTCGGATCGGCATAGCATCGGCCGTTGCGCTGACTTGGGGAGTGAATCATCGTATGGAAGATCTTCCTCTCTGTCGCTCCTCTTTGTATATCTGACTTTCCAATAAAAAAATCTTTTTTTTTTAATAAAAGAAACAAACCAAAAAAAGAGATCAATGCCCCTCTTTCAAAATCAGATTGAAACTTTGCTCCTTCTTTGCTTAAATCTGTTTAACTTTTGGGGCCAGTGGAATGGCTTAACTGCCTAATTCTCCACCTTGCAGCACGGGCATTCCAATATGGGCACCACTTCATGTCCCAACTGCTCCACTTGCCATCCAGCTCCCTGCTTATGGCCTGGGAAAGCAGCAAAGGACGGCCCAATGCCCTGGGACCCTGCTCCTGCATGGAAGACCTAGAAAAAGCTCCTGGATTCAGATTGACCGTTGCAGTCATTTTAGGGTGTGGACCAGCTGATGCAAGATTTCTGTCTCTCCTTCTCTCAATAAATCTGCTTTTCTAATAAAAATAGATAAATCTTTTAAAAAGTTCTTCAAAAGATTTATTTATTTTTATAGGAAAACCAGAGGTACATAGAGAGAGGTTCACGTCCCAAATGGCCAAGATGTCCACAGCTGGGCCAATCTGAAGCCAAGAACCTGGATTTTCTTCCAGGTCTTCCTGATTTAGGTTTTGTTAAAGGAAAATGGGTCCCTGGCTCCTGGCTCGACACTTCACCGGCCATTGCAGTCACTTGGGGAATGAATCATCGGATGGAAAATATTCCTCTCTGCCTCTCCTCCTCTTTGTACATCTTTCCAATAAAAATAGGAAAAAGGGGTGAAGGGACCCAAGCAATTACGCCATTTTCCACTATGTTTCCACGCACATTAGTGGGGAACAGGATTTGAAGTGAAGTAACTGGGACTGGAACAGGTATTCATAGAGGATGCCGGCATCTAATGGTGAACTCAACCTAACGCACAGCAACACTAGCCTCATTCAATCCTTCTGAAATGTTTTCTAGATTTAACTCCAAATATATTTCAGTCTCCAAAACAAGCGGCTCAGAAAGTTCAACTACTTGTGTCATAGGGACAGTGTGTGCTTTTTCATGCTGGTTTATTACGATTCTGTCTTCCCTAAACTCATGCTCACCTGTGTGTGTGCGTTTGTGCCTCTGAAGTTCATCCGAACGTGTGAAGCGTTTCCCACAGTAGGACCAGGTACACATGAATGGTCTTTCGCCTGTATGCCAGCGCAAATGTGCCCGTAGGTGTGAAGTCTTGCCGTACACTTTGCCACAGCCTTGAATGTGGCAAATGTGTTGTTTCTTCTTGCCAGGATCCCCAGAGCTCCTGAAAGAACACAAATTCATCACACATCCTAGAGACAGAAAAGGATCAACTGCAATTATCTAACCTACCCAAAATGAATCCAAACTTTATTTTTGAAAAGGTTCCTCTTTCAGAGTCAGCACTGCTGGCAAAGCCAGCTTACAAAGTCCAGCTGCTCTGCTGGTCATCCAGCTCCATGCAGATATCCCTGGGAAGGCAGCAAATGATGGCATTGTACGTGGGACCTGCCCCATGTGGGATGGAGTTTCTGACTACCAAATTGGGCCAGAAACCACACCTGGCTGTTCAGGAGTGAACAACAAATGGAAAATCTCTCTTCCTCTTTCATTCTGTCTTTCAAATACAGATACACACCCACCCACCCCCTAAATGAAAAGAGATAAATATTCAGATAATTCTGGCTCTTAATTCCCAAAATTGAAGTTGTAGGTTTGTCCTCTAGTGGGCATTTGCTCTTTCCTGCTCTCCTATTCCTTAACCGATCTCACTGTCATTAAGTTCGAGAGATAATTATGTTCAAGGTATTTATGAAGCATTTCAATTGTACTTTTCAGGAAATTAACTTATTTTTAACTTTTCTTTGGAGCGGGAGAAGGAAAAAACAAAGAAAAAGAGAGTAAGAATGCCCATTCACTCATTCTTCAAACAGCCGCCAGGGCCAGCACTGACGCTGGGAGCCAGGAACGCAAGCTAGGCCTCTCGGGACAGAGGAGCTAATGATCTGAGCCATCACTGCTGCCTCCCAGTGTCCGTACTGGCAGAGAGCTAAAGCTAAGAGCCCAAGATGGAAAATAAACCCAGGCCTCTTAACCACCATCATAACTAGGAGGCTAAACACCTACCCTGGTTTAAGTAGTTAAAAAAAAAAAAGCGTGTATGTATATATGTATGTTATTTTTTTTAAAGATTTATTAGAAATGCAGACTCACACAGAGAGAAAGATTTTTCACCTTCTGGTTTATTTCCAAAAATGGCCGAAATAGCAGATGAGACAGCCAGCAGCCAGGAGCTGCCACTTCTCCAATTGCCTGTTAACATCAACTGCCAAAGCCAGGATTGTCTTGGTCTGGCAGAGACCCAACAACTTCAGCCATTTTATTCTGTGTTCTCAAATGCAATAGCAGTAAGCTGGATCAAAACTAGAGATTTGAACTGTTACTCTGACAGGGGATACTACTGCCACACGTGGTGGCGTATCCAGCTGTAACACACACAAAAAACTGGGTCAGACCCGGCACAGCAGCCATGTAGCTAAAGTCCTCGCCTTGCACGTGCAAGGATCACATGTGGGCATTGGTTCTAATCCCGGCAGCCCCACTTCCCATCCAGCTCCCTGCCTGTGGCCTGGGAAAACAGTCAAGGACGACCCAAAGCCTTGGGACCCTGCACCCCCATGGGAGACGCCGAAAAAGCTCCTGGCTCCTGGCTTCAGATCAGCGTAGCTCTGGCCATTATGCTCACTTGGGGAGTGAATCATCAGATGGAAGATTTTTCTGTCTCTCTTCCTCTTTGTGTATCTGACTTTTTAATTAAAAAAAAAAATCTTAAAAAACAAAAACAAAAGCAAAGTAGGTTCGTTGATTAGGTTTTGTTAAAGGAAAGCAGAACCTTCCTTTACAGGGTCTGATTGCCTGTAACACAGGAAAAACAGGGAAGCCAAACTACTTTTCTGTTTTAGCAGTTTTCTGATTTTGCTATTTTTTCTTTTTAAATTTTATTGGAACATTTTAAGATTTTTCACATGTCATTTAGGAGACAGAGAGGACCAGTGGTGATGCAGGTGATGTCAAGCCCTTGGATTCCAGCCTGTGTGTAAGAGACCCAGAGAGAGTTCCAAGCTTCTGGTTTCGGCCTGGCCTAGCCAAAGCTGCTGCATTTAGGGAGTAAACCAGTGAAAAGAGTGTTCTCTGGGCCCAGTGCAGTGGCCTAGTGGCTAAAGTCCTCGCCTTGATCGCACTGGGATCCAATATGGGAGCAGGTTCTAATCCCAGCAGCTCCAGTTCTCATCCAGCTCCCTGCTTGTGGCCTGGGAAAGCAGTCGAGGATGCCCAAAGCCTTGAGACTCTGCACCCATGTGGGAGACCCAGAGGAAGTTCCTGGTTCCTGGCTTTGGATCAGTGCAGCACTGGTCATTGCACTCACTTGGGGAGTGAATCATCAGATGGAAGATCTTCCTCTCTGTCTCTCCTCCTCCCTGTATATCTGACTTTCCAATAAAAATAAATAAATCTTAAAAAAGAAAGAGTGTTCTCTGACTTTCAAATAAATAAAATAATGGACAAAAGACTATGGTTTTCTGTTATTCTTCAGAAGCAGCGATGTAAAGGAAAAAGACCAGGCAACTATCCAGAAATAAGTACCAAGTGCTGCTAGTGAGAAAACTCGTCATAACTCTGGTCTGTAGGATTCTTCTCTGACGGAACAATCTCTTACATAGAGAGGGCATTTCTATCTACTTCCAGGGAAAATAGTCCTGGAAAACTCTGGATTTGGAAATCATGATAGTAGGCAGGTGTTTGTAATTCTGTAAGCAAACTGGTTAAAATCATCTCGAGGGGCCAGCGTTGTGGCAGAATGGGTTCAACTGCTGCCTGCAATGCTGACATGCAATACGGGTACTGATTTAATACCAGGCCACCTCGTTTTAATCCGCTCTCTCCTAACACACATGGAAGACACCCAAGCATTTAGGTCGCTGCCACTCATGTAGGAGATGTAGATAATCTTGGCTCCTGGCTATTGTGGTCATTTGAGCAGTGAACCAGCCGACTGAAGATCTCTGTTTCTCTTTAAAAGAAAAGATGTAGCCTGCAACACCGGCGTCCCATATAGGTACCATTGAGTCCTGGCTGCTACACCACCAGCCTGGAAAGCCACAAAAGATGGCCCGGGTATTTCAGATTCTACACCCACTTGGGGGATCTGGAACAAACTCATGACTCCTGGCTTCAGGCCTAGTTCACTTCCCAAATGGCTGGAACTGAGCTGGTCTGAAGCACAAAACTCAGAGCCTCTTCCATGTCTCCCAAGCATCTGGCCATCCTCTGCTCCTTTCCTAGGCCATCAGCAGGAAACTGAATCAATCAATAGTGGGGCACCAAGGACTCAAACTGAAGCCCATATGGGATGGCAGCCCTACAGTTGAGGGCTTAACATGCAATGGCACAGGCAGTGAAAGGGTCAGCGCTGGAACAAAGCTCCTAAAATACAAAGTACACAAACGCACTGTGATCCTTTTGTTACTGCTTATGTTTTGGTCTGAAGGAGTTACATTTTACACACACCACAGCATGTAAAGCCAAACATGCTCAGGAACTACAAAGGGATCTACTGAGCCTCCTGACGTACCTTCCTTCGCTGTCCTTGCAGTAGGGACAGGTGCACGCTTCCCGCCGAGTCCTGCGGCCAGCCTGAGGCTGAGGATCGGGGCTGTTCTCACCCTCCTCTCCACCTGCTGCATCGTCATGCATGCCATCGCCCCCCGCACCATGGAGGCCAAGCTGAGCGCCATGATCACCTGAAATGGGGAAATCAAGGGCAGTAAGTGAGCAGATAATCACAGCCCCAACCATTCCGGGATGTCCTCCATATATTTTTAATTTATTTTTCAAAGGTTCATTTATTTTCATTGGAAAGACAGATTTAGAGAGAAAATGAAGAACAGAAAAAGAAAAGTCTTCCATCCACTGGTTCCTTCCCCAAGTTCTCACAACAGCAACAGCCGAGCCTATCTGAAGACAGGAGCCAGGAGCCTCTTCCAGGTCTCCCACGCGGGTGCAGGGTCCCAAGGCTTTGGGCCATCCTCGACTGCTTTCCCAGGCCACAAGCAGCGAGCTGAATGGGATGTGAAGTGGAGCAGATGGGATACAAACTGACACCCACATGGGATTCTGGCACATGCAAGGTGAAGACTTTAGCCACTAGGCTACCATACTGGGCCACAGAATAATCATTTAAAGCTTAACTGCAAAACGATACCTCTATGAAGGTTATTTTAAACATGTTTCATTGATTCATTTATTTATTTATTTTAAGATTTATTCACTTTTATTCAAAGTCAGATATATAGAAGAGGAGAGATAGAGAGGAAGATCTTCCGTCTGATTATTCAATTCCCAAGTGAGCACAACGGCCGGTGCTACGCCGACCCAAAGTCGGGAACCAGGAACCTCTTCCGGGTCTCCCACAAGGGTGCAGTATCCCAAGGCTTTGGACCACCCTCGACTGCTTTCCCAGACCACAAGCAGGGAGCTGAATGGGAAGTAGAGCTGCCGGGATTAGAACTGGCGCCCATATGGGATCCCGGGGCGTACAAGGTGAGAACTTAACCATTACGCTATCACGCCAAACCCAAACATGTTTCATTTTATACAACAGATTTAACATAAAGAAGTATATATTGGAATGGAAATGGTGAACCAGTAGCTACTATGAACTCAGTTCCTAAATACAGGATAGAGCCCCATTTTCTACAATGGGTAAAGTCACTGTCTGCAATGCTGCCATCTCACACAGGCCTGATCCTGTCCTGCCTGCTTCACTTCCAATTCAGTTCCCTCTCAACAGCCCTAGAGAAAGCAAAAGATGGGGCCCGGTTCTAATCCCAGCAGCCTCATTTTCCATCCAGCCCCCTGACTGTGGCCTGGGAAAATAGTCGAGGACAATCCAAAGCTCTGGGAGTCTGCACCCACGTGGGAGAACCAAAAGAGGCTACGGGACCCTAGCTTCAGATCGCGTGCAGCTCAGGCCATTGCAGCCACTTGGGGAGTGAATCAGCAGACGGAAGATCTTCCTCTCTTCTGTCTGTCTCTCCTCTGTGTGTATCTGCCTTTCCAACAAAAATAAATAAATCTTAAAACAACAACAACAACAACAACAACAACAATAACAACAACAACCAGCAAAAGATGGCCCAAGTGTTTGATCTCCTGAACCTATGCAGAAAACCCACAGAGAATGTCTGGCTCCAGGTTCTAGACGCGCACAGCTCCAGCCACGGTGGTGCTTTTGGAAATGAACCAGCAGATACAAGATCCCTCTGTCTCACCTCTGTACTTCCACCCTTCAAATTAAAATAAATACATCTTTAAAAGAAAAGTGACAATTTGAAAGAAATGCTCATACTGTAATACATATTAAGCAATCAGGCAGGAAATGATAATCATGCTAAAAATAAGGTGATGCTGCTCTGACACATGTATTTAGCTTGTACACAAAGCCGGGCAGGAGCGAGCCATCGCTCTAACAGTCCCATGTCCCACACAGGAGTGACTGCATTTGATTGGCAGTGTCTCTGCTTGATTCGGGCCCAACTCCTCATCTCCTGTTCTCACTAATGCACACCTGGGAGCCAGCAGTGATACCTGAAATAATTAGGTTTCTCCCATAATAATCAGTGTTCCCAGCTGCATTACTGGCTTTCAGCTCTCCCCAGACTTTCTGGCACTTGGAAGCAAAAACAAATTTTCTTCTCTCTCTCTCTCTCTCAAATATCAACTCCTCCCCATTACTTATATAAAAACTAGAGTGATCAGGTCTAGCGTGTTGGCTTAGCAACTGAAGTCCTCGCCTTGTATGCGCCAGGATCCCAAATGGGCGCCAATTCTAATCCTGGCAGGTCTATTTCCCATTCAGCTCCCTGCCTGTGGCCTGGAAAAGCAGCTGTGGATGGCCCAAAGCCTTGGGACCCTGCACCCACGTGGGAGACCCTGAAAAAGTTCATGGCTCCTGGCTTCAGATTGGCTCAGCTCCAGCTGCTGCGGTCACTTGGGGAGTGAATCAACGAATGGAAACTCTTCCTCTCTGTATATTCAACTTTCCAATAAAAATAAATAAATCTGGGGCCCGGTGGCATGGCCTAGTGGCTAAGGTCTTCGCCTTGAACGTGCCGGGATCCCATATGGGCACAGGTTCTAATCCCGGCAGCTACACTTCCTCTCTATCTCTCTTCCTCTCTGTACATCTGACTTTGTAATAAAAATAAAATAAATTTTCAAAAAAAATTTTATAAATAAATAAATAGATCTTTGGGCCTGGCGGCATGGCCTTGCAGCTAAAGTCCTCGCGTTGAACGTGCTGGTTTCCTATATGGGTGCTGGTTCTAATCCTGGCAGCGCCACCTCCCATCCAGCTTCCTGCTTGTGGCCTGGGAAAGCAGTCGAGGATGGCCCAAAGCCTTGGGACCCTGCACCCTTGTGGGAGACCTGGGGAAGGTTCCTGGATCCTGGCCATGGGTCGGCACAGCACTGGCCATTGTGCTCACTTGGGGATTGAATAATCAGACGTAAGATCTTCCTCTCTGTCTGTCCTCCTCTCTGTATATCTGACTTTCCAATAAAAATAAATAAATCTTTAAAATAAATAAATAAATCTTAAAAAAAAAAAAAAGGTAAAGTGATCAAGAGCAAAGGCAAGACACACAGCAAGATCTTCCATCTGTTGGTTTGGCTCCCAAAAGTAGGCAACAATCTGTTTTGAACCAGGCTCAAATCAGGAACCAGTACTTCTTCCGGGCCTCCCACATTGGGGGGTAAGGGCCCAAGTACTCGGGCCATTACTCTCTATGTGTTAGCAGCAAACTGGGTCAGAAGCTGAGTAGCTTGGACTCCAAAAAGCACTTCAATATAGAATGCTGTGTGACAAACCACAGCACCTACCTAAAAATAAAAAATAGTAATAATTTAAATTTAGGGGTGGACATTTAACATAGCACTTAAAGTACTGATTAAGACAACTTTGGTTCTTATCAGCGTACCCACGTTCCATGTCTGGCTCCAGAGCCTGACTCAAACTTCCTGCTAATGAAAATGTTGACAGGCAGAAGTGATGGCTCAGATATTTTCCTCAAGCAAAAACGCCCCGAGTTCCCAGCTCCTCGCTGTGGCACTATCCAGTCCTAGGTGTTGTGTAGTTCACTTGAGTAGTGAACAGGAAGAGGATAAGGACTCTCACCCTCAAATAACTGAATTAAGAAAATTTATTTTAAATGCCAGCATTGTGGTTCAGTGGGATAAGCCATGCCTGATGCTGGTATGCCATATGGGTGCTGGTTCAAGTCCCACCTGCTCCACTTCCAATCCAGCTCTCTCCTAACGCCCCTGGAAACAGTGAAAAATGGCAAATGCTTGGGCCTCTGCCTTCCATGTGGGAATGCTGGTAGAATTCTGGCCTGGGCCAAACTGGCAATCATGGCCACCTGGGAAATGAAAGATCTCTGCCTCCTCTATATGCAATGCTTTACATTTCAAATAATATTTTTAAAATAAAAAATTTTTAAATGTACTATTGTTTTAATTTTCAAAGCTTTATTATTTTTAATCAGAAAGGTAATTTTACAAAGACAAGAAGAGAAAAGAGAGAAAGATTTTCCATCTGTTGGTTCACTCCCCACATTTTTGCAATGGCCAGAGCTGAGATGAGCTGATCTGAAGCCAGGAGCCAGGATTTTCTCTCAGGTCTCCCACTTACGTGCAGGGTCCCAAGGCTTTCAGACATCTGCTCCTTTTACCAGACTACAAGCAGAGAACTGAATAGGAAGTAGAGCAGCCAGGACCAGCACCAGTGCCCATATAGGATGCTAGCCCTGTTAGGTGGAGGATTAACCCACCGAGCCAATGTTCCAGGCCCCAAAACAAAAAAATTAAAAACACTTTCAGAAATTTAAACAGGGCCCAGCAAAATAGCTTAGTGGCTAAAGTCCTTGCTTTGCATGCGCTGGGATCCCATATGAGCACAGGTTCTAATCCCGGCAGCCCTACTTCCCATCCAGCTCCCTGCTTATGGCCTGGGAAAGCAGTTGAGGATGGTACAAACCTTAAGACCCTGTACCCGCATGGAAGAACCGAAAAGGCTCCAGGCTCCTGGCTTCAGATCAGCACAGCTCCAACTGTTGTGGCTGCTTGGGGAGTGAATCAATGGACAGAAGATCTTTCTCCCTGTCTCTCCTCCTCTCTGTATATCCAACATTCCCAATAAAAATAAATAAATCTTAAAAAAGAAAACATATCCGGGCCCGGCGCGGTGGCGCAGTGGTTAAGGTCCTCGCCTTACACACCCCGGGATCCCATATGGTCACCGGTTCTAATCCCGGCAGCCCTGCTCCCTTCCAGCTCCCTGCCTGTGGCCCGGGAAAGCAGTCGAGGACGGCCCAAAGCTTTGGGACCCTGCACCCGCGTGGGAGACCCGGAAGAGGCTCCTGGCTTCGGATCGGCATAGCATCGGCCGTTGTGCTCACTTGGGGAGTGAATCATCGGATGGAAGATCTTCCTCTCTGTCTCTCCTCTCTGTATATCTGCCTTTCCAATAAAAAAAAAAAAAGAAAACATATCCATAAGGACATTTACTATACGCACGTCCCTATTTTTTCGGTACATTTCTATGATTTTAGAGAGTTAAGAATTAGCTCAGAAAACCAATAGTTTTCCCTAAGCAAAAGGCAATCACCATAATGATGACAGAAAAGGATCTCACCAGTAGGGGTCACTGTATGACACTGTATGACAGCGATAGACAAGTTTT